GAAGCCGTACGGCAGACATCATGTAACTTACCTTCGTCAGATAAGGAACGAACATTCAAACATGCAACATGGAACTTACCAATTGCACAGTGTTGACTGCTGGAATCGGGAATTTCATGGTTCCAGGTTATATGGAAAATTGCGAGCGGAAACTGCTCACTGCGCAACTCAGTTCCATGAGAGCCATAAATTCGTTGCCGCTCGCTAAGAAATCAACCTGACAGGTGAAGTATGACACAAGCATGGCTGAAATTTCAAAACTGAAATACAGCAAGCTTAAATGTGACCATTGTGTTGAAACATTCAGCTCATTTTCATAAATGATTATGACAGGTGTCACTTACATGAAAGCAGTTCATGAATTTTAGACTTGAAATATCAGCCATGTTTGAATCTGAAGCACTTAACGTGAAAAGATGAAGATGAGCTTCAGGTAACATAACCGAAATTCTAAGTGGTATAGCAAGTTACTGACGTTGAGCAATTCTTTAGAGACTTAGGATCGAAACTAGAGGATGAACAACTGATTGACCGCATCAAAGAGCCACACTCTACGGTAAAATAACGGTCAAAACAGAACAATAATAAGGCAAAAATCATACCCTTAATCCAAACGTAGGCCGCTGCAGCAATGGCAAAAATAAGCAAGAAAAGAATAAAACAGAATGTCTCCATGTTGTTGGCAGTTACTCGCTTGACGCCAAACAGAATCGTGCGAAGCAGTCGGCCCTGACTAGTGTTGAAGCCCGTTCTAAGAACGCATCCTATGCAACCACCATCTGGCGCTGAAAGATGAGGAAATGAACAATGAGCCAACTGAAAACCAAAAGGAACAAAAGGTACCCTTTATTCCAGGGCCCGTTTTAGGAGGGCCAGCATACTGAACGACCCGCGTGCCGCCGAAAAGAACGCGTAACTTTCCGTCCATTTCGATGTCCAAATATTTGGTTGGTTCCGCGTTTTCGATCGGTTCCTAAAGAATAAACAACCACTCAAACACGATACTGCCACAATCATGCAGAATACCTTCATTTGCGGAACAGATTCGCCGGTGAGCATCGATTCATCGACAATGCAAGTACCACGAAGAAGTAATATGTCACACGGAACGGTGTTCTCACTGTGTGACCGGCCTGGCGTAAATACCCATTACTGATGCATAAGTCGAACAGCTGGACTCATTACAAAAACTTACCAACAGAAATGATGTCATAAACGACAAGTTCTTCAGTAGATACTTTAATCCACCTGCTATTACGATAAACCTGATATTTATAAAACGGAATTAAAAGTAGCTACTCATGACTGAAACTGTATGTACGTGTATTGGGTACGGCTTGTTGCCCATGTTCCGGATTTCAGTCATATTCTTCATCTGCTGCTTGACTAACGTCGCTTCGAAGATGACCAACATCATAAGGGTGAAAATAGAGTAGTACCAGAATTCGTCCAGACACCAAAGAGACACGCAAAACACTTGGAAGACAAAAAACGGAGCCGTCGCACGCTCCTTGAAAAGTTCGGCAAATTTCGGTATGGATATTTTCATCCTGGGAGAAAAATGACTAACATGAATCTCAAAAAGAAACAGCAACTATCCGTTCTAATACCTATTAGAGCCGTATCGCTCGATGGCCTCTTCAAGAGACTCCGTGCTTCTGTGACCACCGCTCTGCATATAGCTACCGTAAAGAAGATCCACTGGAAATGTGATAGGTCGAAATGCCTTTTTCTCCTCTGCATCATAAATATACTTCGTTTTTTGAAATTCAAACCACAGCGTAATGCTTCCGGTATGGTCGTTCTAAATGAAACAGATCTTTACACGGGAGGCAGAGGAAAGAACAGGCATGTTGCAGATATGTCTCGAAGCTCCTTAAATTAGGTACAAAAAAAGGTAAGAAGAGGACATACAACATAAATGTTCATGTAAATAGAGTAAAGCATCATTAAAATCAAACAAACATCAAATTGTGTAAACTAGCTAATCAAACTAAGTCCATATATAATTTGCAGTGACGACGGTAACGCTCGTTGGGCTGCACATGGAAATCACACAAACACATATGTTGGCATATGCTCACAGCCAGGAAACAAGCACATACTGTCATAATAGAAAAAAATTTGCTGAAAAATATTTCCTACGGAAACGTCTGAGCGAAATTTGTAATCTGACTGCAAGAAGAATGTGCCTTGGAGGTAACAGCAAATAAAACTGAAAAAATGCCAGAATCACTTTGAATTAAGCCAAGGGGCTAATATAAAAACTTAGATGTTCAGACTTTGCTTAGGACAAAACTTATAATCCCCGTAACAACCCGATACAGAATAAACTGTACGAATGAGCATTGTCGAAATGCATAGAGGAATAAATAATATAATCATATATACACCGAAAGGTACATGCAGAATACGTTTTGAACCATACACAGATACACGACATAAAACACCATCCTTCAAACTTCAATTCAAGTGGCACGCATCATGACGTGCAATTCCATTTCACCATTCCTCTTTTTATGCGAGCATCACTGAGGCAGCAAAAGAAACAGGAAACCCGCAACCGTTATACGTTTCTACAACGATGGACATTTGAAGCACCATTTTTTCAAGAGCGTGTGCCACAGTGCTGATTTCAATCTGTAGGCGCCATCACAGTGTCTTTCGAAGAAAACACTCGGCTAAACGGAAATCACATAGCCTACACCCCTGCTTCATACTTATAGTGGTACTCAGA